GCGGGGCTGAAAGTGGGTGGGGCTGGAATGCTTTGCAGAATGGCTTCCAAGCAAGAAACTTTGGCAAACAATAAATAAATAATAAATAATCATAATATTGAAAAACTGACAATGATAGATAAATATAATCAGATTTGTTCTTATTAGTCACAGGATCCATCTTTCCATCCATGGAGCCATCTTTCATCCACTTTACTGCAATCAAAGATTGGTTTATCCAGTCTCACATTAACTTCATTATGCATTGAACACATCCACTGACTGAAGGAAGATCTGTCCTTTGTTAATGGTGGATTAGAATTCATCCTATGAATGATAATGATTACTTATTTTGTGTGGAAAGTCTGAGCTGATTCCTATTTTTAAAGTTACTCCAAAATCGGACAAAGTCCCTGTACTATAGTACATGGTCTCGGGCCAAAATTTGCCAAAAATAAAAAGGTGAGAATTATTTAATTTTATAACATTTCCTGATACATATACATGTTCTTATGTTGTGTAGAAAGTTTAAGCTAATTCCAATTAAAATTGGATTTTTTTACAAATTTTTAAAGTTGCTCCAAAATTGGGCCAAAGTCCCTGTACTATAGTACATGGTCTCGAGCCAAAATTTTGCCAAAAATGAAAAGGTGAGAATTCTTCAATTTTATAACATTTCCTGATGCATATACATGTACTTATGTTATGTAGAAAGTTTGAACTGATTCCGACCAAATTCGGATTTTTTACAAATTTTTAGAGTTGCTCCAAAATCGGGCCAAAGTCCCTGTACTATAGTACATGGTCTCAAGCCAAAATTTGTCAAAAATGAAAAGGTGAGAATTCTTCAATTTTATAACATTTCCTGATACATATACATGTTCTTATGTTGTGTAGAAAGTTTAAGCTAATTCCAATTAAAATTGGATTTTTTACAAATTTTTAAAGTTGCTCCAAAATCGAGCCAAAGTCCCTGTACTATAGTATATGGTCCGGGCCAAATTTTTGTCAAAAATGAAAAAGTGAGAATTCACCATTTTAAACCAAACTCTCCTATTATTTATATATTTATTTATATAACTTAAAGCTCTCTTATTTCATATTTTAATATATTTTCTCTTACCATTCCCTCATGTGGTGGCTGCAGTAATCACAAGGGTAATACTTTGAAAATGTCCTCATCATGATGGCCATCTCCTGTTGCTGACTGGTTGAAGGTGCCTCAGGATAATAGGCTGCCATTGTATGGAGAAAGGTCCAAGTAGCTCTGCCCAACTGATCTTTATCCACGGGACAGTCAGCAGGAGGTTTGGGAGCCTCTTCTGTGACTTTGGGGCTGCTTGATTTTGAAGATTGGCCCTGGAAATAGATAAACAAAATGTTTAAATGTAAACAAAACAACACTTTATTTGTTCAATCTCCTATCCTTACAGTATTATTTTGTTTCTGTTGTTTGCTCCATGTTTTAAAGTCCACGCAGGCTCTACAAGGTTTCTTTCCCGAGCTCTTTGACTGCCAAGTATCATCCGCCATATTTCTTATTGCATTAATAAATCAATTAGCACCACTTCAACTCATGAATAATTAATGATGTTGTTGTTATTCATCACATTATTATTATAAGCACAGCATTTGGAGCACGAGTTCAAGCAGTGAATATAAGTACAGGAAAGGTTTAAAGCAGGTCATATTTAACTTGCCTGCAATTTTTCTCACTTCCTTTCTCAATCACTTTTGGACCAATACTGGCAGTAGATCTAGCTACCTGTCTTCTTTGCAGCAAGTAAGCTTAAGCCTGTCTGTGCGTTTCTAGTTTGCATTGCTTTGTTGCAATCTCTTTAATGAGTGTACTTAATTGCATATATCCTTGTTATTATAACATCTTCCCTTGCAGGCTAATACTAAGTGACAATGTCTGATAGTCTCCTCTCATCTGATGCTCCTATCAATGTCGCTGCAGGAGACTATCAACACTATCAGGTTGAGGTGACGCCCATGCAAAATGGCACGCCCTGCAACAGCAAAGAAACTTCTCCATTAAACAATGGGCCAGGAGACTCACTTCCAAGCCTGCCATTGGTCTCTATGCAGAGAAGCCTGCTAAGTGGAGGAGCACCTCCAAATGCATACATCAAACCAGAACTAACAGCTCCTCCATTGGTTCACCTTCCACTCTACACTCCAGGAGGAGGACAGTATAGGCAGCATACTGCTACTTCAATTGCAAATGCTTCTCCAACATTCTCAGATATTTCTTCAATTCTCCTCACACAAGATAACGCTAAGAAGCATCACGGCCCCCTCCCTCCGCTCAATGAGATAAACCACACCTCACAATTAACGGAAGACCCTCATGTCCCAGCGTCCATATATGGCAACCAGTCATTAAACTTTGTTCTTAGCCCACCACCTGCTGCAGTTCATCAATTAGGAATGAAGAGGTCTTATTCCAGTTCACCTCTATCTGACATGACTGATATCAATGCATTAATGCACCCTTCACCTAACTACACCTCACAGCCACTTGCATTCACATTCACAGCTCCTCACGTGCAGCATCCTAACATACAGCATGTACCAGTAGTACAGGGACCTACTAATGCAGGGGCACTGCCCTCTATCCCTGCACAGCAATACACTATAAAGGAGAGGAAAATGTCTATAGAACAAAGTCAGGATTTTACAAATGGAACGTTTGATACTACAATCACTAATAAGGTGACGTTTAGAGAGCAACAGCCTCCACCTTTACTGCATCATCAAGAACCAATGGAGGTATTGTCACCTACTGCTGTAGCTAAACCAGCTGGCAATGTGCTTCACGTCAATTCACCAAGCAATAGTCTATCAACTGAGATTAGCAATGAAGAGCCTGTAAGCTGTTTATGGGAGTCTTGTGCACAGACCCAGATGAGCATCGGTGAGCTAGTGAACCACATTGAGAAGTGTCACATTGAGAAAGGAGCTATGGAGGAATACGTTTGCCTCTGGAGGAACTGCCCGCGCAACAGAAAACCTTTTAACGCCCGATACAAGCTGGTGATCCACATGAGAATACACTCGGGAGAGAAGCCAAACAAGTGCACTGTAAGTATTGAGAGAGAGGGGGAAGGGGAGAAAAAGGGTTGTGATTTTAAAATTAAAACTGAGATTATGGCTAGAAGGTGAATAAATATGACCAGTAATCATTGGTTAGAGGCCACTAATGGACATTATCACTTAATGGCACTAAAATGAGTTTTGAAATAATGATTATTATTATTATATAAGAAATTATAATAATTAAGTTAGTGCTTGAGGCATACTCCTAGGGCCAGGCGTCCACGGCTACTAATTAAGTATAAAAACTAATACTAAAGCACAAACCACATTAGCTTTAAGTAATGAGGTATAAAGAACACCACGAGTCATAACATTCAGTTGATTGTTCAACTGGTAGTCATTGACAACAAACAAGTCACTGCATGACTGGACTCTCCCTTGAGGAAATGCAATACAAAAACTCTAACATTAATAATAATAAAAATAACATTCCAATCATTCCTTGTTATTGTTTGTCACCTTTATGATACCCAATACCTGCCTAATGTATACCGTTAATGAGTTTTGACCACACCCACTAATGAATAAATTACCAGCTCGTATTACATGATTCAGTCTACAGTTCAGTGACTAGTGACAATGATAAACAGGCAGGCATGAATATCATTAAATATCCGCCATAGTCACAACAGTAATCAACACTATTAATGGCCTCCATTGTACAGTCCATGCACTATGGTCCTTCACTGAAATACAATCCTTATATTGCCTCTAGCAGTGCTACCACAGTGTGATACTGTGGTTAGTGTATAAGTATCAGTTTTCAATCCTCTTATCTCCTGAGTATACCACCACTGAACTGCAGTGCAGCCTAAGGTCTGTATATATTGGATGCATATCCAACAGAGAGGGAGTGTGGACCTGTTGTTGTTTTAGATTGAGGTTTTGAGGTTTGGCCGGCAAATGCAGTCTCACGAAAATTATCAAATAATAATCATCTGAGAGAATATGTATTGCCTTATATGGAAAACAGGACACACACAGGATGCAATATTCATAATAATAAAGAACAATTCATGAATTAATAGAATATATATACCATAATATTTCTTGCATTGAATACATGTGCATATTATTCCATTCCCATACTACATTATTTCATTCTCATTATTCCATTCCCATGCAGCACCCCGGCTGTACTAAAGCATTCTCAAGACTGGAGAACCTCAAGATACACATGAGGACTCATACTGGAGAGAAGCCATACGCCTGCCAGTTCCCATCATGTGACAAGTCCTTCTCAAACTCATCAGACAGATCCAAACACCAAAAGACCCACTATGAGCAGGTACTGAACTGATACTATAACAGTAAAAGTACAATCATAATGTATACTAGTGGATGCAACCACAGTACAGTTGTTCAAGTTGTCACAAGCTGTCAAGTTTAGTTAATGTATTATACTTATTAGCAACTCTTTTCAATGAATTAGTGGTAAAAGCTTGCTGTTGATAAGATAGAGAAACAAACCATTAGACAGCAGTTGTTGGTTGTTGTATGGTTAATCAGTAATGAGAGATAAAGTGTTGACCAAACTGTTTAAAGTGGGCAGGAGGTGTAAGCTGACACCAGCTACAGGGTTAGCACCAAAAACACTAATAGATCTTTCATTATTAAAATATATATTTCTATGACAACTCTTTAGTAGATTTGAGATATTTAGCTATGCAGTTCAACTATAATAATGACTCAAGTTTATACAATGTACATGTAGTTCAGAGTAATGCTGGAAATGTAGGAAGATTTATGTATATTTAGTTCTTTTATTATAAGAAGTAAAGAATAGCACTAAAACTATTAGAAAAGACAGTTCTGTAATAGCAGAGAGTTATAGTTCCACTATTAATGATGAACACTACTCCTCATTAATATAACCTATCACTTCTCTTCTTTATAGAAACCTTATGCTTGCACTCACCCTGGCTGTGACAAGAGATACACTGACCCCAGCTCATTGAGGAAACACTCAAGAACACACTCAATAAAGAAGGTACAGTAATATGTACATGTACATGTAATGAGAGCAGAGAGAGAGAGAGAGGAAAAGAGATTTAGTTGTTTAAATATTTTATGCCCAGAGGAGCAGTAGTGTACACATGGAAGATGCTATTAGCAATATTCTCACGTAATACATGTACATGTACTGTATATCCCAATGTTGTGTATTAAAAATAATGCAACAATGAATACAATTATAATTGTAATATAATATGAGATGGAGTGTGACACTGACATTTAACACTAAGAGCTTCAAAGGAGGTTGCATTACAACAAGACACAAACCCCAATATAGTGTTACAATGCTTAGACTAAGATGGAATCACTTCAGTCCTCATTATCAGTCAATAACTTTATACTTAGCTGGTTTTATTGTAAACATACATTTACCAATACATTCCATTGTGTTACTAAAGAAGTAGCTATGCTTGTTAGCTCATAATCAATGCAGAAAGCACAGTCATACTTTTAATAATTATAGTGTTCATATTGTGCTAATTGTTGGGAGGATCTGTGATCATTTCTGGCAGGATTAGAAGCAGCTGGGTATAAAGAGTGATGTAATGATAATATTTGAGTACTTTAAACTATTAAATTAATAAATGAAGCTAATCCATTAACATGAACCTGTATTTGTATGATTAAAGTTTGCCCACAAATGCACACACAAAGGATGAAAGGCAGAGGTACATGTACATGTATATACATGATTAACTGTACTGGTAATATAATACTGCATGAGTGCATGTATGGGTAGACATAGCAAGTTATGACTGTGTCATGAACTATTGATTATGTATGGAAACATGGAGAGAGACAGAGACAGAGAGAAAAATATTAATTTTTTGTTAAGTGCGTTTACATCAGTGATTAATAGGTTATTATTTTTCATTAATTATTAATTAATGTAGTACGGTAATTAGTGGTTGGAATATAGTTACGTCTCATAATTATGTTAATTTAATTAATTGATAATTATAATTAATTATTAATATATCTTCTTCTTAGGCTCGTGGAAATGAACTGACCGACTGTCTTCAAATTCAGTCACTGCCTAAACCACACCCCCAATCCCAGGTCCCGCCCAACAAAAAACAAACTAAAAAGAAGCAAACGAAACCTGACCTGGAACCACACCCACTTTTAATCCACTACACGCCCACACACTCTTACCCTAATGTACCTCCTTATTCCGACCAATCACTTTACAGTGATCCTCCTCCACTATACTCCGCCCTTCCCCTGTATGACCACACACCCCAGCCCCTCCAACCCTCTCAGTATAATTTCATTCCTCCAGTACCTGCCGGGCAGTATGTGCCACGCCCAGTTATAAAGCCACACCTCCAATTATCGGTGAATGGATACAGTCACATGTACAATACAGGGGGAGTCCCTCTCACCCATTACCCGACACACCCACCTCCGAGATATGAGGACGAACCAATCAAATACTCGTTACCGGGGCAACAAAGACCACACCCATTACAGCCAATTAACGATTATTCTGTGGCCCCCCCCCTTGACCCACCCACTAGCGGAATGTATGATAATGGAATAGCTACAAGTTCTACTGGAGAATATTTTTAACCCTTTAATAACTGACACACCCACACACAGGTATTATAATTAACACCTCATTATTATTTATTATTATTATTATTATTATTAAATGCAGAATTAGTGTCAAAATTTAAACATAAAATATCATGAAACAAAAAAGGGAGAGAATGAGAGAAAGTGCATATAAAGATTACTAACAGTTTACTAACAGATTACTAATAGTTACACTGACAATGTCACAGTCTATATCAGTATACTGAGGCTGCATAAAGAAAAAGAAAAAACGGAAAAGCTCAAAAACCATCTTTAAAACCTTCCCAACAACATGTACATTAAACTACATGTATTCACGCTATACAGTACATGTACATGTATAATGTATGCGTGTTATTAATGATAAACCTGTTACCAGCTCCACCCACTGGAGGCGTGTCCTCAACTCCTCGACCTATAGCTCCTCCTCCTCCTTTCTGGAGAGCGGGACCTTCTCCTCTCTCTCCTCTCATTGTCATGACGATGTCTCCTTTCCCCTGATCCTGATCTCCGTCTATCCCTAGAGTATCTGTCATGAGGTGATCTTGATCTCCGCCTGTGATCAGGTGATCTTGATCTTCGTCTGTGATCAGGTGATCTTGATCTATTGCGTTTAGTGTCGGTTGATTTCTGATCACTAGTTGATGATTTTGAGTTATTTTTAAAAGAAGAAAATCTAAAAATAAATAAATAAACGTAACCTACTATGGAACTAATGAACAATTTAATATGTCAAAATGGAGAATTCTCTCCTTTTCAATTTTGGTGAAATTTGACCAAAATCCCTGTACTATAGTACAGGGACTTTTGTCCGGTTTTGGAGCAACTTTAAAAATTTGTAAAAAATCGAATTTTAATTGGAATCAGTTCAAACTTTCTACGCAACATAAGTACATGTATATGCATCAGAAAATGTAATAAAATTCAGGAATTTTCTACTTGTCAATTTTGGTGAAATTTCACCAAAATCCCTGTACTATAGTACAGGGACTTTTGTCCGATTTTTGAGCAACTTTAAAAAATCATAAAAAATCCAAACTTGATAGAAATTTGTTCAAACTTTCTACACAACATAAAAACATGTATATGTATCAGAAAATGTAATAAAATTGAGGAATTTTCTACTTGTCAATTTTTGTGAAATTTCACCAAAATCCCTGTACTATAGTATAGGGACTTTTGTCCGATTTTGGAGCAACTTAAAAAAATCATTAAAAAATCCAAACTTGATTGGAATCAGCTCAAACTTTCTACACAGCATAAGTACATGTATATGCATCAGGAAATGTAATAAAATTGAGAAATGTTGCACTTGTCAATTTTGGCAAAATTTCACAAAAATCCCTGTACTATAGTACAGGGACTTTTGTCCGATATCAGAGCAACTTTAAAAAATCATAAAAAATCCAAACTTGATCGGAATCAGCTTAAACTTTCTACACAGCATAAGTACATGTATATGCATCAGAAAATGTAAAATTCTCTCCTTTTCAATTTTGGTAAAATTTGACCAAAATCCCTGTACTATAGTACAGGGACTTTTGTCCGATATCAGAGCAACTTTAAAAAATCATAAAAAATCCAAACTTGATCGGAATCAGCTTAAACTTTCTACACAGCATAAGTACATGTATATGCATCAGAAAATGTAAAATTCTCTCCTTTTCAATTTTGGTAAAATTTGACCAAAATCCCTGTACTATAGTACAGGGACTTTTGTCCGATATCGGAGCAACTTTAAAAAATCATAAAAAATCCAAACTTGATCGGAATCAGCTTAAACTTTCTACACAGCATAAGTACGTGTATATGCATCAGAAAATGTAAAATTCTCTCCTTTTCAATTTTGGTAAAATTTGACCAAAATCCCTGTACTATAGTACAGGGACTTTTGTCCGATATCAGAGCAACTTTAAAGATTCTTAAAAATCATTATTACTTGTGAATTTCCTCTTGGCTTCCCTCCTCCTCATCACTGGCTGCTAAATCATACTTTGATAAATCAACATCATCATCATCTTCCTCCTAATAACATTAATTAATTAATTAGTGGGTGTGGTTCCATTACTCACCGACTCCTCATTCTCATTATCATTAGTTGATCCGTTTTTATTTAAACGAAACTGCTTCTTCTTACGTCCAAACTAGAACAAAAAAGAACATAAATAATTTTAATATCAATAATTACTTCATCAATTTCATCGTCTGAATCTTCCCTATCAATATACTCCACATTATCTCTTTCACAATAGCCACCGCCCACACCTAATGGAGGATAAGGACCACACCCATCATCATCATCATCATTACCAGTCCGTGCTTCAATCTTAGCAAACTTTGGTTGCTTGCACATGTTACATTCGTTCCTCCTAGCCCAATTCACATTGCCACACCTACCAAAAGAAGAGGGGGCGTGTCACCTCCTCACATGTATCAATCTTGATATTTTTCATCTTACATGGCACATTGCCAGTCTTCAGCACTGAATAGGCCCCCACTTTTAGACGCTGCCTGTTTCCCAATCTCAGCCCCAGTCTTCTTAAACGTGTCCACTTTCCCCTTATCTGTAACGATATGGTATCTCTAATTAAAGCCCACCACCTCCCCCAAATATAAAACACAGTGGATACCTCTACCACATTTGTTGCATTTGTCCCTCCAGGAGAAGTTAACGTTGCCACAGCTAAGGGAAGGTTAGAATATGAAGAGAAATAGAGTCCCTCACCTGCTGTCGGAACATATCCAGTCGCCTTCATTCACTCTGATACTTTTCGCCATTTTGTTGGTAGACACACCTCTTTTTGTTTCTAATTTAAGGAAGAAAAAGAAATATCAAACATTTCTAATTAAAGGGAGGGAAAATTTTATCAAAATGGCGGACAAAAAGGAGCAAAATTATGCACTCTTGGAAAAAGACCCAAAAAGAATAAAACAATTAAAGTAAGAGTTAATGATACTAGTAATGATGATAATATTATTTGTAGCGTTGATTAATGAGCATTTTAAATTAAATTTATACGGCTTCATGTATATGTACATGTATTTTATATCATCGATTATCGTTAGGTTGTATCTTGAAGCTAACAGATTGTATGATAAGAGAAGGTTAATAACTAAACAAGAGAATGGGGAATATTCTATACCAGTTATACTGGACCACACCAAAGACAAAGACGATTCTCATTCAACAGAGATTAGTGATCTGAAATCATCGAGTATTGATCCGAAATCACCAAGTATTGATCTGAAATCACCAAGTATTGATCCGAAATCACCAAGTATTGATCTGAAATCACCGAGTATTGATCCGAAATCACCAAATATTGATCTGAAATCACCGAGTATTGATTTGAAATCACCAAGTATTGATCTGAAATCACCGAGTATTGATCCAGAGACTCTCCTCAAAGATCACCCACAACTGTCCAGCTGTAGACTAGTAGTGGATGAAGCCACAGTCTCTACAAGGAAGCAACCATCAGATATTGTGGTCTTTATAGAAACTGTACATAAAATACTCAAAGACACTGATCATCTTTTAAACCAGGAGGATAAAGAGCTACTCCCCTCCTTCCTCTCTCAACTGCCCTCCATTAAGATACAGCGACACTCTGACCTGGTACTGTTATCAAAAGGAGGGAGCACTCATCAATTGTGGAACAGACTACAGTCAATATATCCTCCATTATGGACTCAGGTATCTCAGTCTCTTCATTGCAACAGGATAGCGGTATCCTCCATTATAAAACCCAATGGTTACCGATCACCTAACACTAGACTGGTCCTTGGTACCAGTGGTTGGGTAGAGCACACTGATAATGGAGTTAAGTATGTGTTTGATATCACTCAGTGTATGTTCAGTAGGGGAAACATCACTGAGAAGATTAGGATGGGATCACTGGACTGTAGAGGAGAAACTGTAGTAGATCTGTATGCTGGTGAGAGATTATATAAGTAGTGGTTTTGTTTGGTTTAGTTGTACATGTTTTAATTGGGCCCATTGTGTCCATTTTTGAGCAATTTAATTTTTTTTAATTTTGACAAATAACTACTAGCTGGCACCAACCTGAACTGCCAGTTATGTCTATAACAGACATGTTATAGACATGTCTATAACATATTAACATGTTGTTAGCCCTATTGCGCCTGTTCTTTTAGAATTCTCAGGCACTTCATTGGTATCCTATCACCCAGGCCTACTATTATTATTACTATCATTGTTTTATGTACAGGTATAGGATACTTTACCCTGTCATTACTGGTCCATACTGGTGTAGAGTGTGTTCATTGCTGTGATTGGAATGAGTCAGCATTAGAAGGACTGAGGAGAGGACTAATAGCTAATGATATTAATAATGAGAGGTGTATCATACACTATGGGGACAATAGAAAAGTAAGTAATAATGTTGAATTTACTATAATGTAAGTCATTATGACCTTGTGCAATAATGCTAGGGTAAGT